CCATGTTGCTACATATCTATAGAGATGATCGATGTTGCAGAAACATTGATGATGACATTGATGTCGCTATCGATAGCTTAACATCGATATTCGATGTTTATCCTACTCAAAACATCGATGTTGGATATCGATGTTTTTTGCACAATTAGATGAATAAAAGTTAGTTATGTTGTTTATGATTAATTAGTAATGAAATAAAAGAAATTTATGAAAATTTTAGTGTCAAACAGTAATTTAAAAAATGGGAAGAAGTTAACAAATATTCAGTTCATTTGTTATATTTTTTACCGATGATGATGAATGTTATTATATTGATCCTTAAATGTTTCTATACACTCATAAATCCGGTATTAAAAAAAATTACTATGGAACTTCGTATGGAATCACGAAATAAAAAATATGATTATAGATAAAAAATTAACAAACTACACAAACATTTCGGCAGACAATTCGGTCACCTTTGTTCACAGTTTTTAATCAGGCAGCCCAAACAGTAAGCATTTATAGCCATAACCGTTTATAAAATGCATTTTATATAACGACAACGTCTTGCAGTCGTCGTTTCTCTAGCGCTCACTTGACCTTCATACAAATAATTGCATATCGTAATTGTTGATAATTTTATTTTTGGATAAGAAAATGATGATGAATCTAAGTTATATTTACCTTCATTTAAAAAAAATTGTCATTGGCCTAACCTACTGTACTCTTTGGCATGTCCATATGTCTGACTATAACATAATTGGTCCATACACTGTATTGCATGGAGGTAATAGAACAGGAGGACGATCGCTGTAGAAAATAGTGTCCCAGAAATATGGACAAAATAAGTGAAGCGCTGCGATCTCTAAGTAGTCTCAATAAAAGCGGTCTGTTGTGCGCTAGTTAGAAATGATTATATTATCATTCATAGAAAATAATGAAATTATTCATCATCATCATCATCATTACAGCCCTTCACAAGTTCACTGCTGAACGTAGACCTCCCCCAAGCAACGCCACAAAGCACGGTCCTGAGCCACCTGCATCCATCGACTTCCTGCATGTCTTACCAGGTCGTCACTCCATCTAGTGGAGGTTGCCCTACACTACCTTCACGAGGCTCCACTCGAGAACCTTTCTTCCCCATCGGTTATCGGTTCTTCGAGCTATATGGCAGGCCCATTGCCACTTCAGCTTACTAATCCGTTGGGCTATATCGGTCACTCTGGTTTTACTGCGGATATATCTATCACGCAGAGAAACTCCGAGCATAGCCCTCTCCATAATCGCTGAGCAACCTTGAGCGTCCTCATATGGCCTCAGATCCGTAAGTCATCACTGGCAACACGTACTGGTTGTACACTTTAGTTTTCAGAGATTGAGGTAAACCTGACGAGAAGATGTGTCGTAATTTCCCGAACGCTGCCCAGCCGAGTTGAATCCGTCGATTGACTTCTCGGTCGAAGTTGGACTTACCTAGTCGGACTATTTGTCCCAGGTAAACGTACTCGTCAACAACTTCGAGCATAGTGCTCCCAACAACTACCGGCATAGGTATGACATGGACATTAAACATGATCTTTGTTTTGTCCATGTTCATCTTAAGACCTATCCGTTGGGAGACACTATTGAGGTCATTGAGTATAGTGCTAAGGTCCTCCAGATTATTATTATCTATTAATAAATAAATTCTATTCTATTTTATCATTTTAATTATTATAAATATTATAAATTTTTATAATTATTATAGATTTATTATTATTATATTCAGTTTGAGTCCACCTGAGTATGCCAAAGGTATACATGAGGACAGGCATGACCCAGCCGTTATATGCGTGTGCCTTATTCACACCGGACAAAAGGCTGTTAAGCACTTTGGTCAAGCGTGCATAAAACACGTCGCAAACTGACTGTTTCATACCAGTCTCATCGATACCGATGTTTTGTGACATACCCAGGTATCGGTATGTTTCAGCCTCGGAAAGGGTTCTTAAGTTGACGGGCATAGATAAGTCTATGCCCTCAGAGTTAGCAACCCTCCCCCTTTCAACATGGAGGACCGCACACTTATCCGTCCCCATAGCTCCATTCCAATAGGATTGCTAAATTCACAAGTGATGTTTAGCAATTCCATAAGATGGGAGCGACTGGAGGCGAATAACTTGAGGTCATCCATATAGAAAAGGTGGGTCACTTTTGTACCTCCTTTCCGAAGCTGAAATCCCCTCCCGGAGCCCTCCAGTAAAGTACTGAGAGGGTTCAGGGAGAGGCAAAACCAGATTGGAGTCAGACAATCGCCCTGGAAGATACCCCTTCTTATCCTTATGTGGTTTTCCGTAGCCATCATCCGCTCGCCCAGATAGCAAAGGATCGTACTCCATTGCCTCATACACTGCTCGAGGAAGTCTCCAACTGTACAGTCAATTTTGTACAGCTGGAGGACTCTCTTTAGCCATGTATGGGGTACCGATTCGAATGCCTTTCTGTAGTCTATCCAGGCGGCGGAGAAATTCCGACGGTTGCGTTTCACCACTTTGCCAATGACCGCATCAATGAGGAGTGGTTCCTTGGTTCCACGACCACCGCCCCGCCATCCATTTTGAGCGCGTGACATCACCTGATTTAGCTCCAGGCGACGAGTGATTCTCGCGCTCAAAATGGATGTCAGTGTCTTATATATGGTGGGTAGACACGTGATGGGGCGGTATTTGCTCGGGTCTGTGGTATCCTGATCTTTAGGAACCAAATGAGTGATCCCAGTAGTGAAGAGGCTCGGGAGCGACTTCTGATCGAGAGCCTCTTGAAACTGTCGGGCGAGCACAGCGTGACACACTACGAACCCCTTCAGCCAGTAATGATGCAGCCCGTCGAGCCCCGGACTTTTCCAGTTCGGGGCCCTACGGACCGCCTCAGCCACGTCTTCAGGCGTTATGGTGACGGGGTCCATAGGCGTAACACTTGCACTCTGGCTCGCCATAACTTCCATCCAAGGGCCCTCGCTGTGGTTTACGGGCTCTGACCACAGGCCACGCCAAAATGCGACAGTGTCACCCTGATCCGGTCCTGGGCCCGCTCCACATACCTCTGGTCGCTCCAACGATTTATAGAGCCTCTTCTGATCACTCTGGAAGAGACGATTCTGGTTGAACCGCCTTGACCTCTCGCTAAATCGTCGAATCCGCTTCCCCCAAGCAGCGATTTTTTGCTTCAGGTCATCTATGCGCTCCGTTAGTTTTTGCGTAATATTATTATTATTATTATTATGTTGTTTACTTTCATTTCTCGGCTTTTACGGGTTTACTAATAGCACAGGCCTAAGCCAAGTGTATATTAGTGCTGGATTTGTTGTTATCCTGTGAACTACCTTATTCAGTTACTTGTGTGTTAGGTTGTGAGGCAATTTGTCTAAGTATGTGTGTGGTTTGTTCTTCACTTTGCAGAAACTTCTTTACTATTATGCATGTATTTAGTATTACAGCTTTCTGTAACAGTTTGTATGTGTTGGGTGGCAATTTTAAAGTTTTTATAGATAGGTGTAATTGCTTCGTATTACACCGGTTGTCGATAGTACAATGGGCACTATAATTACTTTTTGAAGATGCCAGAGTCGAGTTGTTTCATCTTTAAGTTCTGCATATTTAGAGAGCTTATCGGCTATTGTAGCGTGTAGATTGTGCGCATTAGGGACTACTATATCTATAAGGTATCCGGTTTTGTTAGTTTTATTAATCCATGTAATATCTGGTCTGTTACAGTGAATGGTTCGGTCTGTGAGGATAGCGCGGTCAAAGTATATCTTCGTTTTGGGGTTTTCTAATACGCTTTCTGGGTTGTATTTATAATAGGGTTCAATTGAGTTTATTAGGTTATGTTGGTGTGCTAGTTTTTGGTGAATAATATTTGCAACTTGATCATATCTGTGCTTGTAATCTGTTTGGGCTATTGCTTTACACCCACCTGTAATGTGTTGTATAGTTTCTGGACAACTGTTGCATTTTCCGCACGTATCAGAAATTAAGGATTTTATAATATGCTTTTGGTAGTTCCTGGTCTCTATTACTTGATCCTGCATAGCAATCATAAAGCCTTCGGTCTCTGTTCGCCATGAATCAGCCTTGCATGTAGATACTTACATATTGTTTTAAAATTATACAGGTATAGACACAAGGGAAAAAACAATTAATTTTACTATTAATATATATAGAATAGTTATTAGACGACAACCGACAACGACACCACAGAATAACAAAGCGAAAAAGCGAAAGCAGTGTCAACACATGTGACATTACAGTTCACACTTGACAGTTAAGTTGGACACACCATAAAGATATTTTTTTAAGTGATCGATGTGTTTAGGATTTCTGAATTTTTTTATGATTTTAAACCTTTAATAGGAGATGCAAGATATTGATTTCGCGGGTTCGCATACAAGTTCTTATTAATCGATTATGGATTCATTGACATCGATGTTTCGATGTTTGACATGTGGCAACATTGATGTTAAAACATCGATATTTTAATTTTTGTCGCTTGAACATTATTTAAGCGATCAAAATTATTTACTTCAAACCATTAGTTTGAAGTAGATTTTGATTTGTAAAAGTGATGCGATTTTGTGAATTAAATGTCGGCGCGTGTGAACTGTTGGAATGAAATGAACGAAACAAGTGCTTTGATGTTTATATTAACATAAAGTTATTTGATCGCTTGGGCACATTATGAACTTAAGTGGCTGTCGTCATCTACTGTCCGCTGGGTTGAGCTGACCTTAACATCACCAATTAACATCATAACATTGTGAGAAAAATATATAAAAATGAAGATTTCGAAATAAATGATGGGTTCAGAAGGGCTAGAACCCAGAGCTGTAAAGCCAGTAAAAGAAAAAAATGTAAAAAGAGAAATATACGAAGTAATGGATAATGGATAACCAAAACATTTGCCGTATTTGTTGTGAAAATACCGGCAACACAAATTTATTTCAGAGCGACGATGGTGTGCCGGTTAGTGTCAAAATAATGTATTGCTGCCAGAATATACGTATATCAGATGATGATGGCCTGCCAACGCTTATTTGTGATATATGTAAAAAAGAACTTGAATCTTCATACAATTTCGTGTTGAAGTGTGAAGCTTCAGACAAGAAACTAAGATTTTCCAAAGATACTATTTTCAATTCCCTTTACAGTATAAAAGAGGAAATTAAGAAAGAATGTGAGGACAAATGTGGTAATTCTTTCGATGATGATACCCCTGAATGTCCTCTAGACAACGTCAAAGATGATGAAACAACCCCAAGTGAGACTGGAAATCTAAATTACATAGAAAAGAAAACGAAAAGCAACTCAATATGCGAGGAATTAGAATATCAATGTTCAGTTTGTGGCCGATTTTGTGCAAGTAATTCCATTCTTATCACACATATGCGTACTCACACAAATGATAAATCATACCATTGTCAGTTTTGTGACAAAAAATATAAAGAAAAAAGAAGTTTGAAAAGACATATAGATAGCTGTCACCATCCCAAGAACAGATCTCGTAATTTTATTTGTGAGAGTTGTGGAAAAGCTTTTTTCTCAAAAAATGATGTTAAAATTCACTTACGGACACACACAGGTGAGACACCTTACAATTGTAAACATTGCCCCATGAAGTTCACACAGATAAGTGCATGTTTACGTCATCAAAAACGTCACAGCGGTGTGAGAAGTTATTCATGTTCAATATGCAATAAAAGATTCTGCACAAAAGATGAACTCAATATGCATAACTATGTTCACTCTAATGAAAAGAAATATTCATGCCCAATTTGTAGTTCCCCTTTCAAGTATAGAAATAATTTAAAAAAACATTTATTGCTACATTCACAACCTAAAAGTTTTGTCTGCAACCACTGTGGTCGAACTTTCAATAAAAAAGGCAACTTGAAAATCCATATAGATAGGATACATTCATCAAAGTCTGGTAATTGTATGTTATGTTCAAAAAATGTTGCAAACATGGAGGTCCACATGTGGCGGCATTCTGGGGAAAGACCTCTGAAATGCGAGCAGTGCTCTAGCAGTTTCTATGATGCTAAAGCTTTGGCACATCATGTTAATTTTCGACACAAAAACAAGGAAAAGCACAAATGTACCTATGATGGATGTACAATGGCATTTCCCACAAAACCTATGCTAGATTTCCACAAAGCCAAATTGCACGAAACTGGTATACCTTTTCCTTGCGATAGGTGTTCTAGAGGATTTTATAGAAAGAATGATCTTGCTAGGCATAAAATTGGTACACACAAGGAAAGACTGCTTTAAAATACAGCCAGGATTTCATTAGCAATGTAAGACTGCAATTATTAAATATATTGTTCCTATAGACCCTTTCTTCTTTTGTATTTTACAATATACATCTTAAATTTATCATGAAATTGTAATTAAACAATAGATATTCATGGAACATTTATATAGAACTAGACTTACATTTATAAAATTACATATCTGCATGCTACTGGCAAAATATGCTTGTACTATCCCTAATTGAATTGACAATTTTTTAAACCCCACATATTACAGTGATAAGATTTTTCAGGAATTAAGGAAAACTTAATATTTTTGGAAGGAATACAAAAAAAATCTTGCTTCAATGCGTATTCTGAAAAAAAAATTATCCAACTGAATAATATTGCATGATAAAAATCAGTCACATCTGGTATTTTAAAACCTGGTAATTTTATTTTAAATTAATGAAATAAAACTAAAAATATTATTTAAATCACATTTTTAATTACAGCTATACAATAACTATTACTTGAAAGGCTATACAACCTTAGCTCAAATTCTAATTTCACCCCCAATTGCCCGTGCATTGTATGCTACCTACATGTTTGTAATCACTAATACCGTAAGTACATAGTGATTTCTTATATTTACGCAAACACTATACATTGATTAAAACTACTTTTACAGATTTTATGGCGTTTTATTTATATTAATTTTAATACCCGACGTTTCGGGTGCTTTCGCCGAAGAAGATTAGTCAGTTCTTACCATCCGTCAAGTGTCATATTCCTCTACAAGATGCAGGAGTGTACAAGCTTGATTGTGATTGTGGTCTCTCATATATAGGGCAAACAAAGAGATCAATTAGAACCCGCGTAAAAGAACACATAGCTGACGTGAAGCATGAACGTTCCGGGAAGTTGCAGTTTGCGATCATATTCTAGATGGCCCCAATCATTACATCAGATTTGATAGACCACAAATCCTCGCGAAATAACATCGATTCCTACCAAGGATGATACGTGAGGCTATTGAAATTAAAAAACATCCTAATTTAAATAGAGAATGATACGTGAGGCTATTGAAATTAAAAAACATCCTAATTTCAATAGAGAAGGAGGCTGGGTACTACCACCTGCTTGGGATCCTATAATTAATAAAATTAAAACTAAACCCAAGCATACCACTGCAAGACTTCAAAATACAGTTAGTTCATTCTGCGTATCCGACAATAATTAAAAAGCTGAAGGTACTCCGGGTTAACTTTGACATCGGGACGTCAGTCACCTCAGTCCCCCGTGACCATGGGTGCTGGAAAGCACCCAAAACGTCGGGTATTAAAATTAATATAAATAAAACGCGATAAAATCCGTAAAAGTAGTTTTAATCAATGTAAGTAGATAGGTTGGTAGATAAATACTTCATTATGTTTATCATATCTTTGCCTGTTTCTTTAAGCTAACTTAGTCACTTCTTATTTTTATTATGGTTATTTCCCATTTTAATTTTATGTCGTCCTGTTGCGTAATGTGTGTTCTGAGCGCAAGCCACACAGTTCTACCTTCCGAAAGCCGAAGTGAGACTGAGTTATCAGGTGGCAGGGAACAATCTTCAAGATGCCGTTAGTTTAGGTAATTTCATTTTACATTGAAAATAATGGTAATTAAAAAAAAAACATGATACCTGTTTTATAGTTAGTGAGCAAAGTTTCGTGATCTAATTTGAAGTATTTTTTAAATACCAGCAGTTTATTGTTTGGCTTGGAGGTAACTGTATATTTTTCTATCGAGAAGAAGAGAGAAATTTTTATGGAATTGTGTTTTCTTCGAACATGGTACTTAAATTACTATTAAAGAAAGAACAGTAACTGTTTTGCTGAGGATCATTTAATAATTGTCATTATTTCTTCTATAGAATATAATCAGTCTAATAGATGCAGTTTTCTTTTTACGACACTGAAGTTTCTATCAGATGGTAGAAATGAATGGCCCGTTATGGGAAAATATTGGTTGTATAATGAAAATATTCCTGAGTTGCTAATGCTAAACAAAACCTAGTCATTGTATTATTCTTATTTTGGCTGGCACATCGTGTGTAAATATTTTACTGAACTTGGAATGCCATTTATGAACTTGTTCAAAAAAAAGAACAAACTTCATTAGATCCTTTTCTGGCTTGGCCTTCATGATACACATAGAAATGAGGTTTTCCAGTTGTCAAATTATCTATATTATTAAAAACATTGACAGTCAGTTGGCGTAAATAGAAGGTTTCCTGAACAGAAATTGTTCACCTTGCTCTGTTACTTATTTAATTTTGATGTAAAACTTTCTTACTCAGAGTTTATGAACCATTAATTTACCATTAGTACCATTAGTCACCTTATTTAAACTTAGACTTTTCAGTTTTAGTTTAAGTGCTTCGCACTCACAACAGGTGTCATCTTGTGGTCATCCACGATAAATTGAAATGTTCTTTGAAAATTTTTAGGTACAATTCATACTCAACATGCATCTGGGAAGCTTTTCAACAACATATTCCACATCAACTTCACATTCAGTTTTTATCTAGATATTTGTAAATTCTTGTGCTGTTATGTGTTTCTTTCACTGGAAAAGCTGATATATGATTTTTAATCTTGTCTACTGTAGCCCCTGCAATAGCATTTTGCAAATGCTCCTCTCATATCCTTGGGAACTTATCCCATCAGGATTATTTTACCTAGGCGACAGACTTGTCAACTATAATTTCATACAAACTTAAAAATGTCATTTTACAAATTGTTATAGTCCCCGAAGGCGGCACATGTTAGTTTTTTTTTACACGAATCTTTAGGTGGACGGCCATAGAGCAGTGTAGCCGTTTTAGCGCATTTGGCGCTAGATCTGGTGCAATTCTAGGGTCTGTAGCGCCTTTTTAAATATCTAATCGCTAAAAAACATGTAGTATAATCTGGTGGAAAATTTGATATGATTGGCAGCACAGTATAATAAAAAACACGGTAAATTTATATATATATATATATATATATATATATATATATATATATATATATATATATATATATATATATATATATATATATATAGATAGATATAACTCATCGAAATCGGATGGTTTTTCGATTTTCTAGAGCGTTTATGATAACATTTAAAGTCAAAAACTATATGAAATCTTGAGGTGGGATATATTTCATATTTTTTTCCATAAAATTGCCGTAAAGACGAAGATTTAAAAAAATTCATCGAAATCGGATGATTTTTCGATTTTCTCGAGCCAAAAAACGAGGTGACCGCGATAGCATAAAATTACCAGAAACACCAACGAGTGTATCACTCCGGTATTCTCCGACCGAAATGTTGCTGATGCATTAATTGTTTCATCTCCCTTGCATTATGGTATTATGTAGCTGTTTTGCTTTTCATTGTATTAATCCTCATAGCTTTAATACCTGATAAGAAATGTGATTCATTTTTAGCTCGATTTAGTTAGTTTCGTGAATATTTTAAATGGAGGTGCCACCGAGGAAGAAGGCTTATAACCAGACATATAGATCTGAGTGTGTATAAAATTCAATTGGTCAAATAAGAAGGTGACGGTGATAATATAGTGAAATTTTGGGCTCAAGTCTCCAGATACAAAAATGCGGCTAGGGTGAATGAAATGAATGAAACTTCCACATTCAAACGCCGAAGTATAGCAGATTTTCGACGTTATGAATATTGTCAAAAGTAAGTTACGTAAGCGGATGTCAGCTGAAACAGTAAACTCAAATAAAAAGATACGTCATCAATATATAAAATCTTAAGCAAAGCTGGCAACACATAAAACACCTGAAAATGTCCTCGACAAATTACTAAAACTGAAAAAAGGAATAGAAGCAGGTGTAGGCTCATCATCGGCAACTGGAGATGATGATGACCAAGAAGACGTAGTGGAATTGTCTAATTTAGTTGATTTTAGTACCTAATATAACTTAAATAAATGAAGGTTTCTTATTTCCTTATAAATTTACAGGGTACAACGGAAACGGAATATGCTGGATTTTAGAAAGCAATTTCTTGTAAAGTATAGCGCAATTTCGATAAGGGTTTAGTGCATCTTTTTTTCTTTATACGGTGACACTGCCATAGAGAAACGACCTCAAATCAGAAAGAAATGTAACATGTGGGGTTTCAAAAATCATCGATTCAATTATTATTTCTGTATTTCTTGCAAATAAATTATTATATCGCTTAAAAGTAGCGTACCTGAACCTTTATTTGTGAACAAAATCTTGTTCACTACAGATATTAGATTTAACAAGAAAAGAGTCGTACAAAATTTAAAAAGTAACAGGTAGAT